ACGTAACGGCTTGAATTGCGCGAATGCGCGTGCTCCAGTGGGCACTGGAAGATTCGTTTGAAGCGATGGCTAGCGTACGTCTTGTAGGTGACACGTACAGAAATGTTTCAACGCGTACGTTAGGCGTATGTCAGCTTTATTGAGCTTGAACTGATGAGTTCGCGGCGTAGCAAGCGGCAGTCACAAGCAAACGGACGAGATGGCAGCTCCAGGCGCCGAGCGAGCGCACGGCAGGCGAGAAAGAAAGTGTTGTCAGTGCACACTGTGAGGGGAGCGTGACATCAACGCGCAGCAGCAGCGGGACCTACTTGGCACCGTGCCAGCACCTGGACCGTGCAGCGCGTTCGTACGGAGGGACAGCGTTACACAGGCTAGTCGAAGAGCTACTTCGCATCTAGAAAATAATACGTACATAAAAAGGTATTCAGCCATTATGTCTTGAACACTTGCCCCGGCTAAAGTGCCTTTTGCGGGATCTACATACACTAACAAACTAATGTGATAGCGTTAAAGAGCTCGTTTCGCAGAAATTCCAGTGTCGGCGTCGTTGGTTGTGAGCGAAAATTCATCATCTTATGCATGACGAAAAAATATGAAACGACAGAAATAAAATAAATATATTAAATATTCGTGAAGCAGAGTGGGGCCTAAACCAGAGCCATTTGGGTCCGAGTTGGAATTGAAATCGGGTCGTTTGTGTGGCAAGCAGATGTTCGACCACACAGCCAAACTTCTGTTTCTGAAAACAGTGAGAACTTCCTCTGCTTGGAAATGCATTGAAAGTAGTTTACATGCTCCACAAACACACGCGTCCTTGTTACATTCTTCACAATACAACATGTAATATTGCAGTAATAATGCGTGGTATAAGCCACGGGCATCAGGGCATCAGAATATGTGGTTAATAAAATGGCTCCGTGGTTGAAAGCCGGTACGCCACTACAAAAGGCACACATGCTACTGCACCTATTCCCTTAAGGCCATGCATAGTGGGTGCATAGCAAATTCAGAAAGGTTTCATGAACTAAGTGTCTGAAATGCACACTAGGAACAGGTAGTTGCTATCGTCTAACTCCTAAAGGTGAAGCTTTAGGGTCCCCTAATTTCATTTATCCTCAAACAAGGAAACAATTTGGATAACATGTAGTGCTAATAACAAAGACTGATAAGTGATGTGTTTTTAACTTGGCGCAACATTTAGGACTGCTTGCCATTGCCTATGTACATTGCTAAGCACTATCTTGCAAACTATATGCTCCTTCTGATATTCTCAAGCACATCAGAATGCAGCTACAACACTCAGTATTAAACCCACAAGTGAGCTCAGTAGCGCAGTGCCATAGCCAAAGAGCTACTGCGGCTAGTAGTCCAATTGTCAAGTTTATTGTACCCTGGCGAGTTCACCACATCAGACAGCCATTGGAATTGTACTATACTACTCTTCAACTGTACAGCCTGCCTTCCCCCATCTCCAGCTTCTGGTAAGACAAAGCAACGAGGTTCCTTAAGAGGCCATTGCATGGTCATCCAAGAATTTGTGTTTTTCAGCAAAAACTATTGGTAGAGAGCCTATTATACATACACAGGTCTAAAAAGTGGGCTGTAAAAGAATATTTCAGGGCAAAACAAGCCCGAGATGAGGCCAGCTCTAAACCCCGCCCACCGCCAGTGACTGCTCTTTTGCTATGGCACCTGTGACGTCACAAGTTGGAAGGAGCAGAGCCGTCGCCTCCTATTGAAGTTTCAACCGTTACGAATTTTTCAATTTCAGCACCAAACTGAAGAAAGATAGAATATCTTGATTTGACGCGCAGCTTACCATGGAACAACATCAGCTGCCGAATGCAGGCACTCGCTTAGTCAACTGCTCCTTACATCAAAGCTGGCGTGTGCCCCGGTGTAGCCCGACTCACAGGCAGCTCGCGTGCTTATAATATCAAATTTAAAATTGAGTACCTGAAGAAATGCACTAAAGCTAAACCAGCTTATAAGGGAATACCTAGAGACTTACCCACATGACGCAGATTATGATTGAAAATTTGGTGTCATGGCAACTTTAAGCTAACTCTAAGCAAATCACAAGCAAAGGTTATTGCTCTGCAAAGCACTAACTTCCCTTCATCACATTCAGCGGTGGTGACTATGCTTGTGTACGCAACTCGTTTATGCTAGTTGTGTCAACTTGTAGGGAAAAGAGAGCTAGATGCACGTCTCATTGAATGAACTGAACCTTATCCATATCCAGTATGTCTTGACTTAATGATGTAAATTTGGTTGGAGTTTTCTCTTCAACATTTTATGCCAACCTAGTGCGCTTCTGCAAAATGTTTACCTTTGATTCAGGATGTCTTGTACTACAGTGTGCTGCGTATGACTGATCGATCATTTTGGTGAAGGTGCTGCGACTAGTCGTTCAGCACACCACACTTCAGGACCCAAGCCAAACTACTACTTTCCTTTCCTCAAAATGAGTGTGCACAACCAAAAACAACTTACACACACAATTGGAACATGACAATTCGTTATTTTCATGTAACGTTAGAAAGCAAGTTACTGCAGAAAAATTAATTAAATATTTAATTACACACTATTAACAGTAAAAGACAAACTCACGCAAAACAACACATTGCTTCATTTTCTTTCTTGGATTGTAAGATTAAGTGCCTCAGAATTATGCTATGATAATTTGAGACATACGTAAACAGAGCATCGTACCGTATTTACTCGCGTAATTAACGCACTTTTTTTCTCGAGAAATCAAAGCAAAGTTGGGGGTGCGTTTATTATGCGGGGATACTTTTATTAAAACTTTTTTGGGATGAGCAAAGAATCCAGTCATGCAAAAAAATTTAGGCCACTGAGCCTTTCGCAATTGATGTACACATACACTGTTCCGAAACAGCCTCTTTGTTGCATTTTATTCATCTTCGGTGGTTGACGACGCCATCTTGTGCAAGCTGTACCCGCATCGCCCACGCATGCCATAAAAGCGTTTTGCGACCATCTTATTTTGCAATCATTTAACCGTAACAGTGGTATCTGCTTTGATCTCAAGGGGCACCCAGAAGCGTGCGCTACGACGCGCACTCTGACAACATCATGGCAGCCTCGCACGACAACCACAATGATGCCGTTCACATTGTAGCAAGTAACTAACATTGCAAGAAGCTACCCCAAAGCATCAAAACAAACAGTTCATAACAATAATAATTACAAAATACAGCTGCCGCCTCGCTTCTACTTGAGAAGTTCCTGTACGTGCAGAGAACAAGCAAAGTGAGAATTGAGGGTGCTACCATGTTGTGGAAATTGTCAAGATCTTATTTGAGCGACAAACAATTTTTTCAGGTTTTCTGAAAACCTGCGACGCGATAGCGACAATAAGTCCTGTTGCCGTCGCTATAAAATCGCGTGCACGTCGTTGGGCCTTAAAGTTTCATACTTGCACGAAGCGACCGTCGGTTGGCACGGGAAGTTTCATTACCTTCGCTTGCCGTCTGCTTATCAGCTGCGACGTCTCTACACTCACACCGTTCATGAACCCCGCTGTAATGCACAGATAAAAAAGACAGGGGACGTGCCGCACACAGATAGAAAGAAAAAACAATACGGCGCGCAGCAACGGGCGAAGGGGAGGAGGCAGCGAGCAGAGGTGGCCGAGGGAAATTGGCATAATAATAAAAAGCGGAAGGAAGCAACAGGTAAGGAGGCGCCAGGTGTGGTTAGTGAAACTGCAGCGGATGAATTTAGGGGGTGCGTTTATTACGTGGGGAAAAATTCTAAATTTTGACGACTGAAGATGCGGGTGGGTTTATTGTGCGAGTGCGTTCATTAGGCGAGTAAATACAGTAATTCATGCCTGAAGGCGTTATTCACTTCAACGTACATTGATTTAAATTTATGCATTTGATTCGTTTCGACCTACGTGAATTAAAAGTCAGTGTCTCAATTCACTTTAGCACACATCGGCTCAGTTTCGATTCACTGAATTCACATTAATTATTCCTCAAGGTACTACAGCATCTCTATGATGCCACTCATTAAGAGGGGAAACTATGCTCAATAGAACTGATTCATGAACAGATGTGAACAATATTTTAACAGCGTTTGTATTCTCACCTTTTGATTCCAAAAAGGAACTACTTTTATGGCAGAAAAAATAATTTATAGCATGCTCTAACGTCACTGTCTAAGTTTGCTTTCTTGCTCAAAGGGAAATTACCATCCGAACAGAAATCCTCAAGATAGTGGTTAGAGCAATAAAACTACTATAATGTTCAAGAACACGTTGTTGCCATTCTGATCAGTGTAAACTATAAAATAGACAAAGCAAGAATTCACAGACCCATTCTGAGGCACAAGTTTGAAAACAGTTTTTGGGTAGATTTCTGGCTTTCACGGGCTGCATCCTTTGTTAATGTCCCTAGACATTCGTGTTCATAACGCCAAACATTATTTCTTCTCAACTGACTCGCCATGCAATGCTCTTACTTGAATATGAGGATGACCACTGTTTATTCACACTGAATGGTGCTCACCTTGCCAATTAGGTCCCGTGCCTCGGCGCTTACGTACGGAGGGAACTGCACCTTGCACTCGCGTATGCGCCGGTACGTCTCGTGCATCGTGGGCGACTCAAAGGGGGGCTTGCCCACCAAGAACTCGTAGATGAGAATGCCGAGGGCCCAGTGGTCCACCTTCTCGTTGTAGGGGGCAGCTTCAATCATCTCAGGTGGCAGGTAATCCAGCGTGCCGCACATTGTGGCCCGCCTGCGGCATAAACGCATGCTTTCACATTTAGGCTAACGCAGCCGCACATTTGTTCTCTCCTTCGTCTTTTGTCTAGCGTTTCCACTCAATGAGTCGATACCAATATGAGGAACATGGCTAAACACATTCCCATCACACTGGGTGCGTGTGCTGACGGCATAGTGGCTGGAGTGCCTGGCGTCTGTCTCCACAGAGTAACGCACTGTAGCTTTGATTACCTGGTCAAGCGCTTAAGCACAGTTTTCCTTTTTTGACCAGTTTGTGCACATTTTACTGACGCCATTTCTGTGATAAATTGCCACCAAGCAATTCTCGATAGACTGCTGTACATCCTATCGCAGTGTAAAAGAATTTAACAGTCAGACGAACGCACCTGGATGAAGGTGCATGCACGGACCAGCCGAAGTCTGCAATCTTAATCTCGCCATTAATGCCGACGAGAAGATTTTCCGGCTTGATGTCGCGGTGGATGACGTTTTGTGCATGGCAGACCTTGAGCGCATCGCAGAGCTGGTAGATGTACTGAACACAAGAATAGTGAGAAAAGAGAAACCACATCATAAGGTGAACACTTTAGATAGGAATTTCTTGTGTCACTTTTTAATTGACAATAAAGAAACTGAACCAGGACCCATGTACAAACTCGTTTTTTCCAGGGGCTGTTTGAAGTCTTTAGTATTTTACTTCATTATCTTCCAGTAACTATCAGCCCAGGGATAAGAGACTTTGGCATATCACCCTCCCAAAAGTTCTGCCTACCACAGCATGAAATGACACGTGACACACCCGTCTGCAAATTCACAACCGAAAGGCTCGGCTATGTTCTTACAGTGGCAGCTCTCTTGTCAGTGAAACGCCTGGCCGAAGTAAGCTGCTTGTAGAGTTCGCCCTGAGGCGCATATTCCAGGATCAGATAGACCCTCGTCTCATCGTGGAACCAGTTGAACAGGCACAGGATGTTCGGGTGCCTGAAAAACATTTTGCAACAACAGACAAGACATGCTGCTGAAATGACGAGTGCCCACGGATCTGCCAGCTCAAGCTTTTTAACTCTGCTATCGCTCCAAGTTTACGCAGACGTGACATTTCACCGCATAATTCTTTAGAGACTGTAAAATCCCTCTATTGCATTTCATAAAATAAACTACAGAAAAATAATTACATCGTCTCCCACTAAAGGGAACCATGTGGGTATGCGAAGCAGCACTGGTGTTCACTTGCGTTTCCATTTGTATGTGTCCGTGTAGGTTTCATTTGTGTGTGGAGTTGTGTACATGTTGTGTACCGCTTATGTTGCCCCCCCCCCATTTGTGTGAATTAATGTGTGTGTGTGAGTGCCACAAAGTGAACACCCAGCGCTTCTAGGAGAGGGCAACGGAGCGAGCATGTGCAGCAGTATATGAGCGCACAGCTGTGGCAGAGAGATAAACGGGAGAAGAGAAACAAAGCGGAAGCAGCACTGAGCCACCTTCTCCTACGTTGCACTCACATGAAGAGGGGGCCCTTGGCGACTGTTCTCTCCCCCACTGTTTATGCGCCAACTCTCCCCTTTCCTCGCGCACGCGTAAGGAGATACTTGGCGCATGCGCACTAATGGTGGTCATGCTGCATGCTAAGTATGTTGGTATTCTTTCATTGCACCTCCACTGAAACCTAGCCAGTGGCCAGAAATCACATTGCCGTTCATCAGTGTAGCAGCAAGATGCCTCAGCCTGTTGGGCTACCATGGCAAGAAAACTAAGGAACATGGTTCCACAGGTTCGAATGCATATTATTACATTGATTTTGCTTATTAGTCGAATACAGGAGCAGGAGCATATGGCAGCAAAAATTAGGAGCAAATGTCAATAAACCAGCAAATCAAAACCTTTTGAGAGATACAAAAAAGCACACGTTCAGCAAGCTTCAAATTCATAAGCCATCAGGCTAAGTTCCACAAAGGCATGAAGAGTATTATCGCAGGTCTTTGTAAAATGCCAGTTGTCTTTGCAATATGACACTATTGACAGTCTTCAGCAAAGTGTTCCCAACAACACAGGCACGGTCACAGGCTTTAGATGAAGTTAGGGGTTTTACATGTCGAAACCGAGATACGCCATAACAAGGAGAGCAAATCAATTTCGTGAGATTATCCAAAAATACTCCTAAATTTAAGTTCACATACATGCCATTTACATATCCATGGCCCTCACCCCTTTCAAGTTCCATCCTTCCTGAAACTAGAAAACCATGGCTAAAAGTCACATCTGTGTTCAAAATATCACCAACATGACCCAGAGACCTACACAGGGGGTGGCACACAAGACCACTGCCCCCCCAAATTTTTTTTTTCACCAAGGCACAGAAAGTGAAAAATAACCCTTGCAAGAGGGTGCCCCTCCCAAAATAAAATTGGTGGCCCCCCTTTCACCCCCTGAAAAAAATTTCTGGCTATGCGCCGGACTGTTTAGCTACCACAGTGGGTGTAACAGCTGGGGAAGGAAACAAAAATCGCAGCATATTCACTCGAAACTTTAGCTAGAGTTCGTTCCCTACTTTTTCTACAAATTATGCCACATACCGAAATTTATGTTCACTGGCTGATTGGAGAACTGCTCGCTGCACAGTTGCGGCACATGCCTCAGTGGGAATGAAAAGAGGACCTGCAACACCTTATCAGCAGGCTTAGAAAACGCTGCTATCCAGTAATCAAGACTATGATGAACACGTGAGGCAAACGATATAGCTCGGCATGCAGCCAGAAATTTAGAACTAACTCACAACGTAGGCTAGAAATCGTTCCTTTTTCTTTGTACAAATGATGCTCTATGCCCAAATTTATAGTCACTGGCCGATTTGAGCATTGTTAGCTGCACAGTTACGGAGGTCACCGTAGAAGACAGACACGCGGCCGTGTGCGTGATCACATTGAAGGTAAGTTGCGTGTTCGAAGAGAAAAAAGAAAATGTGCTCAAGGTCCTGATATGCGTGACGTAACTTGTTTCTACCGTGCCATCCCTGCCTGCTTTGCTTCCACTGTCCTTGTCGAGACAAGAGAAGAGAGAAAGCAATTTAGTGTGCAAGAAATGTTCGACTTTGCTGATACTTCACAGATTCCAAAGAATCTAAGGGCGATCGATTCATAAGGGAATGTTTTGTGAAATGTTTTTGTTAATGCATATTACTTCAAGGAAAAACTGATTTTTTTCTAAATGTCAATTTTTTGGTTTTCTATCATGGGAAATGTGCACTTTTTCGCCCAACATTTAGCTGCAGAAAGCTTCCGCCTAGTTTTTTGTTTTTTTATGAAGAGTTACAGGCAAAAATGTGAGACCACCGATCACCCACGAAACTGAAACTGCGAGCTTCGTCTGCATCATAAGATTAGCTTGTTATGTAGTATTTTCTTCGTTATTTAGCTATGATATCAAGTGCTAACGTAACAGTGCTCTAAAAGCATTGTCCACCCCTCATTTTTTATCATAAAAATCATAAACGTCTAACTAAATAAACATATAACATGTTACATGTGTTGTTCGTGCTCAAGCACTGATATGTGAACTTGTCAACCATCAAATTTGCTCTGGTTGACGCTGCGTGTCATTTCAATAATGACAGAAGAAGAACATTTGATATTATAAGCAAATCTGAATCAAGCCTGGTCTCTGCACTGCAAAAGCTTGCCTCAATATTAATTAGCACCTCAGCCTGAAAACACCGTGGTTCTTGTACTGACCATACAATGTCAGCTACAAAACAAAAATGCAGAGTTGCCACTCGAGCGAGGGCGCACAGCAGTAAAGTCCGCGACAAAAGTGGCTGCAAATATTAAAAATTTCAGGACTCCTGATCATCTTGGAAGAATGCTAACATCATCCTAATACATAAGAAAGGAGATAACAAGGACTTGAAGAATACAGGCTGATCAGCTTGCTCTCCATAGGATACAAGCTATTTACAAAGGTAATTTCTAACAAAATTAAGAAAACATTAAAATTCAATCAACCAAAGGAACAAGCAGGATTTAGAACAGGCTAATCAACAATCAAACACATTCATGCTATCAATCTGCTAAGAGAGAAATGTTCAAAATACAGCCAGCCACTACACATAGCTTTCATAGAATACGAGAGGGCATTTTATGTAGTAGAAATATCAGCAGTTATGCAGACACTGCGGAATCAGGGCATCGACGAAGCATATATAAACATCCTGCAAGAAATCTACATGGGATCAACTGCTACAGTAGTGCTTTATAAAGAAAGCAACAAAATAACAATTAACAAGTGTGTAAGGCAGGGGGACACAATCTCCCCAATGATGTTTAACACGGGCTTAAGGGAGGTTTTCAGAGGCCTAGAATGGGAAATGTTTGGCATAAGTGTTAATGGAGAGTACCTTAGTAAGCTGCCCTTTGCCGATGACATTGCATTGCTCAGTAACTCAGGGGACGAATCCCAATTCATGATTACGGAGTGAGACACCGAGAGCAGAAAAGTAGGTCTTAAATTTATCTGCAGAAAATGAAAGTAATGTACACCAATCTCGCAAGAGTGCAGCTCTTCGAGATAGGTAATAGTGCACTTGAATTTGTGAAAGACTGTGTCTACTTAGGACAGGTAGTAACAGCGGAGCAGAACCACGAGATTGAAGTAACTAGAAGAATAAAAATGGGATGGAGCCCATTTGGCAAGCACTCTCAAATCATGACAGGTAGTTTGCCACTATACCTCAAGAGGAAGGTATATAACATCTGCACCCTGCCGGCACTTAGCTAAAGAGCAGAAACCTGGAGACTTACAATAAGAGTTAAGCTTAAATCGAGGATGACGCAGCGAGCAATGGAAAGAAAATGGTAGGTGTAACCTTAAGAGACAAGAAGAGAGCAGATTGCATCAGGAAACAAACCGGCGTTAAGGATATTATAGTTGAAATCAAGAAGAGGAAATAGACATGGGCCGGGCACATAGCACGTAGACAGGATAACCACTGGTCATTAGGGTAACTAACTAGATTCCCAGAAAAGGCAAGTAGGTTAGGGGGAGACAGAAGATTAGGCGGACAGATGTGATTAAGAAATTTGCGGGTATAGATTGGCAGCAGCAAGCAGAGGACCGAGTTGAGTGGCGGAACATTGGAGAGGCCTTTGTCTTGCAGTGGACGTAGTCAGGCTGATTATGATGATAATGATTATTATCTGGTGAAAGTGATCTGCTTGTTCCCGTCTATTTTGTCGACATTCTCAGAACTTACATTCCTGCTATTTTTCCGTACGGGAACAGTCATAACTCTTTTGCTAATAAATAGTTTTGAGTAAAACTTGACACAATTCCTTATCAAACTAGTATGCATGCTTTAGTGCCCCATCGCTTGATTGCAGGTTGGGCACCCGTGTAGTGTACAAGTATCCCAAAGGCGTACGGCCACTAGCGGGGGTTCAGTCTTAGCAAGCCGCCGGGCACGCGATAACCGTCGCTGTGGCGAAAACACGGTACTGCTGAAGGTCGTAATACTTGATTGTCTGCAGCAACATCAAAAAACCGTACAGAGCCCGTTGCAAAGGTGCAGCGGGAAAGCAAATGGGCTTATCCATGCCACGGGTGAGAAGTACTACACAGGGGTGCCACGAGCTCGTCTCCGTGGGCAAATGTGATTCACGGTGACACCAGGACAAAGGGCCCGGTTGCTCAAACGAGGGCCAAAACTCCGTGCGCATTGGCTTCAGATAAAGGTGAGCGTCCTCTGCAGGCGCAAGGTGCTGTTGGCGAAGTCCGAATGAGCCCCAAACAAAACCAGTCGACGGACGAAAAAGAAATGCGTGCTTACCTTATGTCGTCTCGGAGAGGTTCTCTCTCACTCCCGACGCACGTGCGCGAAACGTCCCGAGAGACTCCGCGCATGGTGCCACAGTCAACATCCGCAACCGGGTGAGAGGAGTTAAACGTCCCTCCCCACTCTCCCAACGCGGCACACCGCGGAGGAGAGGAGAGTAATGCCGGGACATGAGAACGCAGAAAGAGGCGACGGACTAGCCTCGATTCTTGCAACGCAATGAACCTTAATGAGCAAACACCGTGCTACAATATTAAGGGGGGGACGCGGCTTTGGGATCGCGAAAAATGGCAAAAAATTGATTGTTTGAAACTCAAGTTTTCAGTTTCTGGAACCTTTTTCTATCTGGTTCGAAAATACCTACACTGAAAACCACGCAGAAGTGCTTTGGAAAATTCGTTTCACCCTCCTAGGAAGGGAAAATTTTTTGTAAATGGCAAGAAAACGGCGTTTTTTCAAAAAATTTTAGCTTCGCGATGCTTGGGCCGGGAGCCGACTTCTTGAGCTCATCGGAAATAGCATTTCTCTGTCTTTAATTTTCCCGCCTCAGCTGACTCCTTTTTTTAACAACAAGCGAGCAAAAAGCAAATGTTTGAAGGTCGTTTTGAGGCCCTTGATTGGCCGTGGCCGCCATGTTGCCTCAGCTCGCATCGCCATTGGCCCGATGCTCGCTCCGGGAGATCGTCGTCTGCTGCTTGTGCGTCGCGAGGACATGACTCTCGAAAATCGCCACTTTGTGACGTGTTAACGGCTTGATAATCACTTGAGATATAACCACGCTTTAGTTACGAGCAGTAAGCGGATGCGGGATCAGGTTACTACGAGCGGGAGCGCACTCTACAAGCGCCGCGCGTCATCGGAGTCTTCTTTAGCCCTGACTACGCCGACAGTGAAGCTGCGGGCAGGAACGGCGCGCTAGCGCATTCGCGGCGACGTGCTTCTTCGCAAGCAACGAAGCTGAAAGCGGCGGCACAATCTGATTACTACGAGTGGCCGCACCGGATGCACAATCAGATTACTACGAGCGGGCGCGCGGCGGTCTACGAGTGCGGCGCGTCAACGGAGTCGGCTATAGGCTTAACTCCGCTGACAGCGAGACTGCGGGCAGAAACGACGCGCAAGCGCACTCTTGGAGACATGCTTTTTCGCAAGGAATGTACCACATCACTCGCTAGCTCCTCTGAATCACGTACGGGCATTTTACGCATCGGCCGCGGACAACGCAGTCAAGCTCGTCCCCCCCCCCCCCAACCCTTCACTGCCAAGGGTCGCTCAGAACAGCGGCTAGCAATTTCGCGCGTCGTCATTCGAAAATGAGATGCCAAGTGCAGTGCGTGCCGACTTTTTAGTCTTCGTAGTTACACAATTCGCGCATCGTCATCGAACGCCGCCGGCAAGTGCATCACGTGCCGGCTGCACTGTCCACGCGGCCGCGCACCCCACGATCATATGGAGTGCTGTCAATAAGCTTTTGTGATGAAGTTCTGACGTGCTTGGAGGCGTGCTTGATATCGCCATGAACGTCCATGAATGTTCCGAGGTTAATGAATTGCTGTAGATTAGAGTTTCCGCGACCGGCTGTATGATGATGCGTTTTACAGCAAGAGCGGCGAAAGAGCATGTATGAATCAGGAGCACGAATTTTTATATGCCTATTTTGTGCAATTAATTATTGTGCTAGAAATCCCCGTGCCACCAGTCTTCTGCCCATAATTTTGTTATTGAGAAAGAAGGCGTAGGCCGTCATGATGTGATCCTTATTTCTGATGCAATAAGCCTCTCTCCAAATAAAGAAAAGTTCAGTGAATATTTCTAATCAAGTACCTAATTACACTAATTACAATTTCAGCACAAAAGTATGTGTAATAATTTCAGTATATGGTTTTATTCAATTGACAATCTTTTGTGTCATACCTATCACACCACTGCTTCATGCAAAGAACTTGGTTTGAAATCCATACTTGTTCTTTGTAAATCATGAAAAGGAGTAAATCGTGAAAAGAAGTCAAATATCTCAAGACAAACCAGAGATCACAATTTTTAGGTGTCTTAGAGACGTAAAGAAAGTTGAAACTTTAAGCGCAGCTTTCTCAATACTGTTTTTTTTTTGACATTATGCTCAGCCCCTCCACATGGTTCAATGAAGAAATAATTTGTTTCTCGTAAAATATTTGTGGTATCACTTCAAAATTTTTTTGAAAGCATTGTGAGGTCATTGTTAGTGTCGGTGCCAATTTTCATCAATATTCAACGAGAAACAAAAAGTTCATTGAAAAAACGCCTGTCGAAAACTTCGACAGGCTTTTTCTCACAAGTGTATTATGGACATTGTGCATTGCTCGTGGAAAAATTAGCACGGGAACAATTGGACCGATTTCGATTCTGTTTTTTCCCCTGAATTCCTGAACACTGCTTGTGGGTACAGCAATCTTGACTTTCTGTTTTATAGACCTGTTATTTTTCTAGACGATGATTTGTTCCTGCCACTGTTTCTGACAATGTGTGTCGGCAGCCATGATGATCTCTAAAAGAAGAGAACTTAATAAAAACTTCTGAGAGTGTCATACCCTGTAGCTTTCTTTTGAATAAAGATCAACACCATTCGCAGCTTCCTGGCATGTTTCATGCCAGGAAAGGCCAGCAGCTTCCTGGCCTTTCCACGAGCAGACCATGTATTTGTATCGTGCAGCATTATGTAACTTGAGATCTGCGGAAGCTATCATGATGAAACTGCATATTTCCCAATTCGAGACACTTATGAGTATGCATGCCAAATTTCATTGCTGTAGGTAAACAAATCAAAAGTTTTTTTCAATGCCACCTCCCCCTTAAATATGGCTGCCTGTTATACTTATGTGCCTTTAGTAATAGTGGATAATTTCTGGGTATTCATTTATTAAGAATTTTTTCAAAATATTCACCAGATCTCATTTGTTTTGGTTCACTGCACAGGCTAAAGCTTTTTTATGTCCCTACAAAAATAATATTCTGAGTTACAAGTAAAACTTGAGTTAGAAGTATTGGTGTAAGGCCTACCTTTAAAAAATCTTTTTAATTATGAAAAGGTTACAAAAATGTGATTGTTTATAATGCTCACATGTGCCTAAAATGGTGTGCTTTATATTGCAGACTAATATTCTGTAATGATTATTGCCTTAAAAAACATTTTTGACTCTTGGCCTCGTACCTTAACAACGCAGGCGAGGAAAACAGATATCTGCCGTAAGCTGTCATATTAGAGATAAAAGAAAAACAGTGGCGCGGTCATCGCTGTTACGGAAGAACGTACATTGGATGGCGTAACAAGCCTGCCAACGTCTCATTGTGTATGATAGCCGCACTACATTCAGCGTCAAAAATTAAGCTCACCTGAGATGAGACTGGATCTCAATCTCCCGTCGAAGTTGATGCTCCATTCCGCTCTTCTGAAGCTGAGACTTGAACATGACCTGAGCAAAGAGCATCACGCTCAGTTTGGTTCTCATTCGATGGACTTTACGAAACAACAGTGGTCATATGCACACAACAGTGCAGTAAAATTTGACAATACTGTACGTCTCGAGATGAGCCGATCTGTCATTTACACAAGTGTCACCAAGTAATAGCGATTGCCGCTGCTCATGCACCTTTGAGAATACCGAAGCGCCAGCAATCATTCTATGTTCACAAGTTTTACAACTCCAATTTGTGATGTTCATCTTATGAGATCAAATGTGCTTCTTTCACTATATATAGAATAGGGGAAAACATCAAAGAAGCTTTGATTGATTTGATAGATTTGTGGGTTTTAACGTCTCAAAACAACTATTTGATTATGAGAGACGCCGTAGTAGAGGGCTCCGGAAATTTTGACCACCTGAGATTCTTTAACGTGCACCCAAATCTGAGTACACGGGCCTACAACATTTCCGCCTCCATCCTAAATGCAGCCACTTCAACCGTGATTTGAACTCGCGACCTGCGGGTCAGCAGCCGAGTACCTTAGCCACTAGACATCCGTAACGGGGCATCAAAGAAGCTTTATTCCACTAAGTCAGTAGTTACTGCTTGATGTTATAATTATAATAATACAAGGTAATAGATAACGATGCCAAAGAAAGCAAATGAGATAGGCTTGTGTGAATGATAGTAGTGTATTCAAATTCAAATTATTGAACATTTCAACGTATTCGCAATGAACCAATAAATGTATAGTATATTATTCCGCACGCAACTGCCTTTAAAAGCAACTTTTCTGTAGTGTAATAATGCTAAGCCAAAAAAGTACCTGTCCAGGAGAAATCCGCTCTGCCGCGAAGCCCCCCTCCCCCTCAAATTTAAAGTGTCCCGCAACATTTCTTGAGCATGGTCAGAAAATGCTGCCAATCAGCACTCGAGGCTAACGAGAACACGCAAGCCAAATTTTATAGCGCAGTACACGGCCTTGAATTCACAATAAATTCTCAGTCAGCTAAAAACTGCTCTCTTCTCTCAGCAAATGATACCACAAGCTCAACAATCACTCGTCACAACCATTGTATCAGCCACTGGCTGATTTGAGCATGGTGCGCTCAGTCATTACTAGGGGCTGCTGCAGACAGCCGCCACTTGTCTACATGAACGTGCGGGATAACATTGAAAGGTTGCGTATTCGAAGAAAAGAAAAAAAGAGCGTGATCTTCTTTCCCAGTGCCATCCCTCCTTGCTTAGCTTCCTCCTCTTTTGTCAGGACGAGAGAAGAGAATGCAACTGCAGTGGGAAACAAATCTTTGCAACTCCGCTTGTACTGGACAAATTCTAAAAATTTTTGCTGTGGTGAATTCACGAGGCAATAAGCTTCGTTACTGAATCCATTCCATGGCTACTTGAACAAGTGTTGCAAGGCACTTTTCAATAAGCATATTACCCTCAAATCAATTTATCATTTAATTAAGCCTAAAAGCTTGTTATGACTGCTTATATGCTCGTAAGTAAATATATTTTGATATCTTACGTATTTTACAGGTCATCACTCACACCCTACTGAAAGTTAAATCCTGCTACTACTCAAAGTTATTTTGAATTTCTTTGAACAAAGAAATAGAGGTCCTATTTCAATTTTGAAGAAATAATGTACAGGTTAGTTAGGTGACGATAAATATGTCCATTTTTCTTTGTATATCATATATACTATTCGAATTCTCTTCAAAATTATTCTACTAAGATCACTATTCACTTTGAACCTAGAATTTACTACTCGCACAAGCCTAACATGAAATGTTATTAGAAATAATTGAAATTTACATGTTGAGAAAGAAAAGCAGATGAAGAGATAACTCGCCACGAGCAGGGACCAACCTTTGACTTTAGAATAATGCATCTGATGCTCTACCTAATGAGCTACACCAGCGGTCATCCCTCCGTCCACTTTATGGGGTGTGTGCGTGCATTTAAACACAGAGTGTCAGTCAGCGCAGTCAGCAGGTATTACAGCAAGCGTGGAATATTTTTTGCCTGTTGGCATCACATATCATGTTATCTTACTACATTATGTTAGTAAATCGTATTGTTCATTGCAAAAGCTGTCACGGTCACTTGAGCGTTATAATATATGCAAATGAGTTTTTATGCAGCTTGCACTGTACTTTTACACAAAATAACCGTACGTTACCACTGCTCATTTAAACGTGGTAGCATAGCCCTAATGAAAGCCTGTCAAGGCCACTATCATCCATTTTTAGCTTTCTTAGCAACCTAGCAGATCCCGCAGTGTAAATCAGCAGTTTTCAAAATATTCATGAAGTATCAAAAGTAGGCACATCACACAGAGACTAGTTTTACTCTTACAGACTTCTCAACGATCAGTGCCCTGAAGCGCTGCTCATTCTCAGCATTCTCCCATGCGCCAGATCCTAGCACTCATGACACATTCCCGCACCGAACCACAGCACTTGCTTTTAAAGGGGCCCTGAAACACTTTTTAAAGTAACCATGGAACGAATTCACAGAAATGTTTATTGCCTCACAAATTCAACGCCAGAAAATTTCTAAGAATCCGTCCAGTGCGAGTGGAGTTACAAAAATTTGCTGTATGCTACAATTACATTATCTCTCCTCTCGTCCCGACAAAGCGCTACAAGCTAAGCAGAGAGGGATGGCCAAGCAAACAAAATATGTCACGCGACGCGTCGTGACCTTGAGGAATTTTTTAATTTCTTTTTGAATTTGCGGCTATTTCAGTGTGATCGCGCAGCATATCGCGACGATCTCTGTAACAACCGAGTGTACCACGTTCAAATCAGCTAATGGCTGATAGGTGGGCTTACTACGAGTGATTTTTGAGCATCTTCCGTCAATTGACGACATAAAAGAAAGCAATTTTTAGCTGACCTTGATAATTCACTGTGAATTCCAGGCCATATGTGCGCCATAATATTTTGCTCAAGTGTTGTCAGGAGCCTCTACTACTGATCGGCAGTGTTTTATGAGCATGCTCAAAAAGTGTTGCAGGGCCCCTTTAATAATAAATCATTTGTACGGTTTCGCACCAAAACCTACAATATTGTTGTGTGACATTAGGGAACGAATGAGGAACCATCAGACGGACGATGGAGACAACGAAGGTGATCTCACTTGTGTTGTTGTCCCGCCATTTTGCCTGCAGCTTCCCGAAATTCTACCTTATATTTTGTAAATATATATATATCTTTCATTCATACTCTCAACCCCGCGACATTTGGCGGAGATGTTGGCAACAACATGACATGAGTAAACTTCGAAGTGGCCAGGTTTGGTTTTTTCCACCATGGCAAGCCAGGGGCCCGCTCCTGCCGAAGCGATCACAACAACACAAGCGTGATCGCCTACGTCGTCTGTGATGGTTTCTCATTCATTCACGATGAGTAGCATATACCCCCCCCCCCCGCCCCATTATGAGTGACTCCACAGAAGAGGGCCCCACAAATTTACACCATCTAATGTTCCTCTTAACATGGAGCGAGACTTAGAGAGTTTTATTATTTGACTGTACAGCAGATTTAAAAAGCTATGGCTATAAATTCTGCAAAAAATTTTAAAATACACGCGGGTTGCATTACAACCCAAAAATATTTTTAAATTGTAGATGGTGTTCTGTATACTGTTTTAGTTTTTCTTGTTCTTCTTGTTAATATACACTACCTGCAGATCACTGCAATTTCGCACAAGGGCAGCTATCGAAGGTTTATTGAAGTGGAACTAAAATTGCGAGCAGACTACGAAAACTGCTTTTTTAGACTTGTCACTGCATCACAGTTGCCACATATGAAGGTTATCTTTTATAATAAAAATATATAATGCAGTGCCTAGGCTTCAGTTTTAGTTATGTAAGTACCGCTAAGAAACATGTGGGAGAATCTTTGTTTATGTCATGAAGCTCCCCAGAAAAAGGTACTCAAACTCGGAAACAACGTAGAGGTACACCCACATTTTCTGTCACACTTTCAAAGAAGAAGGCCCAAAAATGATTTTTGGAACCGCGAGCACTCAAGGGTGACAAATTTTCTGAGAGATAAAAAAATTCTGCGTCAGACGATTGAGAAATCTCAAAATCAAGTTTTCCGACAAAACGAAGTCTTGCCTCAACCTTAATGTGTATAGATGTCACACGTTGCACGAGTCTTTAGCATTTCGCCTCCGTAGAAATGCAAACCACTGCAGCTAACATCGAACCACCGACTTTCGAGTCGGCAGCTGAGCAGTGCAACCACCATACCACCCCAGCGGACCACCACTTTCATTTAAAGCGGAAGCTGTTATGAGATCACAACTCGTGTCACGGGTGGTGCCGTAGTTCTTGTTCGCCTCTCCCGCCGGTGTCCGTAACCACTTCGCAGGAAAAAGACCAAAAAAATCACAGCATATCACGGGGTGAATGATGACGAGTGGGCAAAGCTTCCGGAGAGTATCATCAGTAAAGCCGTGAATTTTCCGTGTGTAATTCGCCCAGTCGATCATGATATAAGGTAGATCGTGAGAAACACTGTGTGTGTATATATAGAAATCACTTTTATTTGTTCTTAGAGACGATGAATGGCTTGCGATGTCCCTTCATTATGATGGCTTTATGGTCCTTGAAATGAAGAGTGACCGGTTCCTGTATAGGAACTGCTCACCTGCCTCGCGAGTTCACACATTAGAATTCTACCTGCGAGCAAGCGCCGCAGCAACCTTGAGCGATTTACGCTCCGCAGCCGTGTCCATCCAATGACTCCGAGCGTGTAGGCACTGCGCCATGTGGCTCATGATGCAGACAGAAATTAGGTGCCTTCTTTCTTCTTCTAGAATCACTCAACGACTCTGAGCGCGCGCCAACAGCGAAAAATTTCATTAAAAAGCTCCCCTAGCGTACGTCGCCGAACAAATGCACTCCACCAATGATACGTTCTTCATGTGACAGAATTCATATTACAACATTTCACACCTTTCATCATCAACTACAAGCACCGCCATGTAGTTTTAAATTTAT